CTCACACACACACACACACACACACACACACACACACACACACACACACACACACACTCACACACACAGACACAGACACAGACACAGACACAGACACAGACAGACACAGACACAGGCACAGACACAGACACAGACACAGACACAGACACAGACACAGACACAGACACAGACACAGACACAGACACAGACACGACACACACACACACACACAAACACACACACACACACACATATATATATATATATAGTATCATGTATATGTGTATATATGAAACCCACCTGAAGTCGAGCGTTTGTATATATACATTCATTTTCTAATTGATGGTATACACATAAATTGCACACACATGCATGTGTAGATACCCACCTGTAATGGAGTGTTGTGGAGTAGGATTGAGTGTATGCGCGTACGCCAAGACTGGCGGAATAGGGGTTGCCCCATCCACTACCGCATCTGGCTGGTGAAGGAAGTCACCCTCATACCTGGGCCACCCGTAGTTGCCGCCTAAAAAAGTAGTCAGAAAACGCCGACCATGAAAATCAAAACTTACTGTGCATATGTTGATATTCAATACAAATCGACCCGTTACAGGTTTCTAAAATCGCTGACGAGATAGTTTCAGTTGATGGTGCCAAAAATCTGATAACACGGGGCATGTGAGCTGTTCCAGAACTTAAATATATATCATGAAGATGTTGGTTTTTGCGTGTATCGTAGAAGACTGTTCTCTCAGTATGCGCTGGAGTGTCCGTATGACAAGTCAAATACAAAGCTCAAAATGGTTCCAATATATCTGACATGAAAAAGAATTCGCGTGTACTTGAGTGCGTCAGGAAACTTGGTTTCTACACAGCGCGTGGGGTGCGGGCACACGACCCTCTGGAAGCCTGCCCCAGTTTCTGAGGAACAACTCCCATCGTCTGAGGGTTTAGGGGTTTAGAGTTCAGGGGTTTCTCACAAAAACCTGGTTTCTGAGGACCAGCTCCCGTAGGAAAACGGTTTAGGGGTTTGGGGTTCAGGGGTTTCTCACAAAAACCTGAGCGATTGCCAGAGTTTCCCTCCTACAACCCTGACCCTCTGCAATTGTCTCTCAGAAATGGTTTTCTCTCGAAATGGGTTTCTCTCAGAAATGGTTTTCTCTCGAAATGGGTTTCTCTCAGAAATGGTGTTCTCTCATGAAAACTTCATTTATCATCCAGCGACAACTTCTAGAGGACCATGCTACAACTATACATCGTTCGCCCAAGCCTGACTCTCAAATATTTGCTTGAGTTCTTTCACGATACCCGCCTAGCCGACAGGCAATGCGGAGGTAAAGCTACTATCACCGTAGGACTAGACGACTGAACCAAGGTTTCGAGATACAAACTGAGCGTGACAACGTACGTATATGAAGTACACCGAATACGCTAACTCTTTGAATATGAAGTTAATCGTACGGACTAGAAGTTTCCAGATTGTAATTGAGCGTAACAACGCACGTGTAGATAAAACACCCAATACGCTGACAGATATGAATTCTTTGAAAATGGAGTTCATCGAAGGATTAAGAGACTGAACGAAAGTTCCCGGATACTACTTGGCGTGTATATGATACACACACAATGCGTTAAAAGATATAAATTCTTTGGAAATGGAGTTCATCGAAGGATTAAGAGACTGAACGAAAGGTCCCAGATACTACGTGGCGTGTATGTGGGACACACCCAATACGCCAACTTTTTGAACATGAAGCTCATCGCACGACTAAAAAGAATGAACAAAGATACCAGATCCAAGCGAACCACCACAATCACAGTCACGTATGGCTCACCTTTTTGGATCAGACTCACTTCTTCCGCTCTGTTCTGGCCTACATCACCGCATAGTAAATAGGTCGGTCGTCGCGGGTCGAAATCACATCTCCAGGGATTACGCAGTCCATTGGCCCATATTTCTGGGCGCGCTCCCTTGTTAATAAAAGACAGAACCAGAACGACAAGAGAAGAAAGAAGGAGTCGACCCACCATGAGAAATATATTAGGCACAGCTGTTTGCGCATACAATGAAGTACGTTAGGGGTTTTAGGGTTTTTAGCTCTATAAAGCGGCTTCGGGTTGGTGGTTAGAGAAGTGTCGGGACAACATCGAGTCCATACCCGTACGTTGACGAACGGGTTGTCCAGAGGTACTCTGTAAGGGGCCCCTGGCCATGGCTCTGATACGTCTACGCGAAGCGCCTTCCCGAGAAGTTTGGTCATGTCCTGGCTGTATTGTTTGGGATCGTTTCCAGCCCCTCCATCGCCGAGGAAGATGTAAAGATATCCATCCTGTGCGTTAACGGAAACAAAAGTGCGATAGCAGAATGAGTGCTACCCCCAGTAAATGGTAGCAGGAGGGGGTTTTAGGGCTTAGGCTTTAGGTATAGGGTTTTTAAAACTATAGCAGGAAAAGGTTTAGGGTTCAAGTGCTACCCCAGAAAAGTGTAGCCAAAAAATGGATTAAAATCTGAGTGTAGTGATACGGATCGTTCCCCGCCCCTCCATCACCAAGAATTATATCAACTCATCCATCCGGTGACACAGAAGCACAAGTGCGATAATAGGGCTAATTCTGTGTTTACTGATCTGCTGGGGAGGAGGTTTTTGGAACATGATATGTGACAAACAGTCAGATTCTATCACATCTGAATTGAATGAGGGCGTTCCAGGCACTTCGTCGTTGAGGAAGAGATACATTTACCCATCCTGTAGTATGAGCACACTAACACTATTACCAAAAAAAAAAAAAAGATTGTAATACGCAGACGTGGGCCAAGGATTTGTAAGCAGAACTGGACTGGACAAGACAAAAGCACTTGTTCGTCTCAGTCCGTACTTCGCTGCAAATGCACCATTTGCATTCGATGAACAAACTGTAAAGAGCGAGTACCCTGACGAGTGGTGTCGAAGCGCCCTCCTTCCTAGATGAAAGGTTTGAAGTTCCTGTGCTACTTTTTGCAATAAATAATCCCTGTTGGTGCGCATCAGCTACCATGCAATGCAACACCTTCCCGACAATACGCTCAACATCTATACTACGCTGACAAAGCTTCTGCCCACTCATTCAGGCTTGAACTCTATACCAAAACGCAGCGAGGATGATGTGCTGGTGAACGTACCTCAGGGCCAAACAGAATTTCGCCACCATTGTGGTTGCCGTATGGCTGTTGTACTCGTAGCACATTCGTGATAGATAGGACTGCGTAGCTCATCGGCGAGACAACCAGAGACTGGATGAGCCCCACATGGTCCATCTGACAGGGCCTGCGGGTGCAAAACAGGTAGGTAAGATGGAGTGTGTCCAAGCAAACCTCTGTCTGTATCAGCCATAGGCGGTAGTTGTAGACGCTCATTTACACAGTATATTACTCGAAATAAGTAGCACACTCTAAATTACCCATAGAAGATAGTTGTATTCACTTATTCACACATTAAATTTATTTGAACTAAATAACATGCTCCCTGATAAAAGGGGTTGTGATATACTACAAAACACTTTAAACCAGTGTGCATATGTAGAGCCTTGCATGTCAAGGCAAGTTAGTTAGCCAGGTAGAGTACTTACGAGACCAGTCCATAGAGCACTCGGCACTGCGCGGATCTGATATGATTTGTTTCACATCACAGAGTTTGGTTCGTAGCACACTTAACAAATAGCACCGTGTGAATCTATAGTATTTACACTAGGGCGTCTACCATAAATGTTACTGCCAGGAAGTGGCTCGGCAAAACGTTATACTTTCTTCGCATCGCACCTTTTGCTTGTCACACGCACAAACTCCTTCTCTGGTGCACGCAAGTATGGGTAACGAAATGCACACCCAACTCGGATATACAAAGCCTATATGGTAACTTAAACGCAACACGGGCCTGATCGACACACACAACATGATACAGGCATCATCAGAGCTATGGATACAGATGACGCCAGTGGGCCTATGGGTCGCTAGGCGGCATTAAATGCCGGTGTACCTGCAATCTGCGGCAAGAACTAGAACGGCGGTGGGGACAGAGGGTACGCACAGACATCGACTCAAATAAATGGCTAATTCAGTAAATAAATGGCTTATTCGATTTTTGTACAACAGGAATATGCATACCGGCTGGAAAAAATGGGTGATGAAACGTATTCATTCAGCACATATAAACGTATCTGCTACCAAAATTGGGTGACGAATGGTGTACGTTCAGTACACATAACGTGCCTGCTACACATGACACGATTTAGATAATACAAATTAACGTACCTTATACACAAAGCAGGTATTGACAAAAGACCCTAAACCCTAAACCGTATTCGTGTAATACAGATAAGCGTACCTGCTCGGTAGCAGGGGCTCATCGTCGCAGCCGGATGGGAACTCACAGCCATCGGCACAGGTGCGTTGGCAATCGGCGTGGATGAGTGGATTGCAGGAGTAGTGTACGTACACTCTATAAGAATAAGTTGAGAAAGCATGTGTTACTGGTTCTGTGTCATCTACAAAGTAGATCACACATGAAATACGCACAAGTGCGGTTCGAGCCTTTCATCACTGAGGCTGGATGTTCGGATGGGCCGAACTCGTTGGAATGCTGTTCTGCCAATCTGGTACCCATGTTGTGTAACACAGACGAAACTAGAAGTAGTGTAGAAGGCTACTACGTGGCCAAAAACAAAAACAAAAAAGTGTAACAAGTGGGCTCAAACTGTCTCGATTTTGAACCATAACCCGTCCACGTGGTGGTAAAAGCGCTGACTAGCATAGAAAAACTCCAAACCTAATTCTCAAACTTTTGTAGGTGCTTGTTTTTACACATACCTCCAATTATTAAGATAATTCGGATCGAATGCAAAACCTGCCAATTAATAGTATAGTGAAGTATAGTGAAAAGAGAATGAGTATCAAGCCAAGCGGCACTACTAGCTGATCTAAATATCAGAGTGCGTAAGTTGACATCTTATGCCTGCTAACAATCGAGTTACAAAACTCACATCGGAATCTATAAGAACATATGCTACAGATAAATATATATACACACACACACACACACACACACACACACACACACGCATGCACACACACACCACACA